AGTTCCACCGGCTTCCCCAACTGCAGTCAGGACCGTTCCTGACCTCTCTAATCGCGACCCTACTATACATACAATGCAGCAGATACTTGGGGCATATATCATCGCTCCCTATGAGACACATGTTCCACCTGTATATGCCGCTGGAGATCTTACCTTCACTATGCCAATTGTGGCTAATGTCTCATACGAGGTCAATCAATATGAAGAAATGGAGAAAGATGCTCGGTTGAAAGAAGATGCATCGGTAAATGCCCAGCTTCAGGGTCTGAGAAAGGCATTGAAAAGCTTACAAGTCACTAGAGGGACAGAGAGTTTGGATTATGATGACTTGTGCATCCATCCAGACATTGACATGCCGGTAGGGTACAAACCACTGAAGTTTGACATGTTCCATGGGAAAGGTGACCCTCACACACATTTATGGGCATACTATGACAAGTTAGTCAGTGTAGGGAGAAATGAGAAGCTAAGGAATAAGTTGTTCATCCGAAGTCTGTCTGGAGAAGCATTGACGTAGTATACCCGCCAAGACCCTCACAAATGGCGTGACTGGCAGGAAATGGCTGAGGACTTCATGACTCGTTTTAGATTCAATACTGAAATTACTACTGTCAGATTCTCATTAGCCAATATACAGATGAAGCCATTTGAGAATTTCTAGGAATACGCATGACGTTGGAGAACTGAGGCCTCAAGGGTGCAACCACCTCTAGATGAGAATGAGCTCTCGAAGTATTTTATTCGAGCTCAAGAAGGTATCTACTTTGATAAGATGATGTCAATGATGGGCCAGAAGTTCGCAAAATTAGTCAAGATGGGAGACTTTATAAAGGAGAGTGTTAAATCTGGGAAGATTCAATCTATGGTCGCATTGCAAGCTGCAGGTAGAGCCATTCAATCAGGCGCCATTACCGGCATCAATAATAAAAGAGAGGATGTTTCAACTGTCACTTACCAACAAGGAGGACCATCCCATCGATACCCCAATAATCCCCAAATTGTTGCACATACTTCTTACGTCCCATACCCAGTATATAATACCCAACCACACTATAATCCACCTCGAGCACCAGCACACCAAAATCCACCAAGACCATATGTCCCTGTCCAAGCACCAATACACCAAAATAGACCAACATATGCACCAAGACCACGTCCAAATCTTGAAGCTAGAAATGCTCGCGCTTACATACTAGTTGCCGAACCCTATGCTCAATTGTTTGAGAGGTTGAGGACTCTTGTTGCAACCAGTTGAAGGAAAACTGCCTGATTCAATCTCTCATAATTTTGATGGGAACAAGCGATGTGCTTACCACTCAGGAGTCCAAGGACACGACACAGAAGATTGTTATGGTTTGAAGAACCAGATCGAGTCTTTGATCAGGAGAGGAGTAATGAAATGCACTCCAGCAGCTCCTAATGTGAACAACAATCCCTTGTCAAACCATAAGAATCGGGAAGTCAACATGGTTACTCTAGATGACAAATATGGGGCCCCCAACTATACAAACATAAATGAAGCAGATGTCATGACATATTTGGTGCAGCCTGTTATCACTGTTCTAAATAAACCTCTGACTGTACAAACATATCTCCCAAGAGTTGTAGTGACCACTCCAATTGTTAGAAAGCCTGAGTATGACACCAAAGCAGTCCTTTGGGACTATCGAGCAGGTGTCAAGGGTAAGTTGGTCAACACTGACGTGGACCAAGGTATGACTAGGCCGGGAAGGTGTTATGCCCCAGAGGGATCTAAATCAAAGAGTTCTCGGAAAAGAATAGAATCCAAAGAAGAATGTTATCGATGCTGAAGTCGCAGAGTTTTGGAAGAAGATGCAGTCTAAAGACTATTCGGTCGAAGAACAGCTGAAGAAAACACTGGCCACATATCATTTGGTCTCTGCTTATGAGTTCTGAAGCTCATAGGAATGCTTTGATAGAGGTGTTAAGCGGAGTAAACATTCCAAACGAGACCACAAGTGAGACCTTAGCTACAACGATTGGAAGAATAGTGGAAATTAACAAGATTTCTTTCCACGATGATGAGTTGTGCCTGCAGAAGGAGCTGGACACAACAAAGCGCTTCACATCGTAGTCAAATGTTGTCATAAGATTGTGACTTGAGTTTTAATTGATGGAGGTTCTAGATGCAACATCTGCCCTTTCACCACTCTGAGGGATTTAGGTGTTAATATGGGAGAGATAAGGGAAAGTCGTGTGAGAGTTAGAGCTTTTGATGGAGCGCAAAGAAGTGTCATCAGAGAGATCTATCTCACATTATAGGTGGGGCCGGCTGAATTCCCCATTATATTTCAAGTGATGGACGGATCATCCAACTACAACCTGTTATTGGGATGACTATGGGTTCAGATGGCGAGAGCGGTTCCTTCCACTCTTCATCAATGTGTAAAGTTTGAATGGGGTCGCACAAAAGTCACCATCCACGGGGAGCTCAGTCACTCCATTCATTCTGTTAATTCTATCCCAGTTACCAACAAATTATACGAAGCCACTTTTCACACTTTGGAAATCATGCAAGTTGTAAGGGTCAATGAGGAAGCAGAGCCACATGATACAAAATTATCAAGTGCAGCAAGAATGGTTGCATCAGAGATGTTGAAGTATGGGTATCAGCCAAAGAGTGGACTTGGACCAAAGTCCAATGGCATAGTTGAGCCAATCCAGTTGAAGCATCATAGAGGCACCAACGGACTCGGATACAAGCCTACCTTGGGAAGAGTCCACCACAGGTCAAGCAAGACAATCTTCATACTGGAACAAGCTTTGATTCCAGATCAAGCTGACGTTGATGACATCATAGAAGGAATAGGGGATCTGTTCGTGGCCATGGCTGGAGAAGAGGAAGAGATAAATCTCAGCAAATTGACCATTTGTGATGCCGAACCTGGAGAAATCTTGCAGAACTGGACCATTTGCCCATCCCTGTTTCAATCAGAGTCCTGGTAGTGTGGAAAAGTAGTTTTAATTTTAAAATTCGCATGATCAAATTGAGGCTTGAATCATGCCTTATCTTTTGTTGCTTGCCTCTTCTAAAAGCTAGAATGCTTTGAAATAAAAAGTCTTTATTTTTCTTTAAAAAATTTCTTGTTATTTTCAATATCTACTTTTTTTTTACTTACCTTTTTCACTTTTCAGCACTTATATTAATAAAAATCCTCATTAAATGGTTATGACATGTAACGAATCCACCGAGCAAGGTGAAAGTGATGAACAAGATCATGAAGAGTATGATGAAAGCATGATGCCTGCAAATCTACCACATGAGATCGAGCAAGTTGAAAGTCAGAAGAAGCCCAATATGGATGAAATAGAGGTTGTCAACTTAGAAGATGAGGAAATCGTGAAGGAAACATGAGTCATCATACATTTGGAGGCTGAAAGAAAGCAAGATTTAATAGAGTTACTTAAGCAGTACGTCAACGTATTTGCATGATCTTATTATGACATGCCAGGATTAAGCACTAATATTCTCATGCACAAATTACCAATTGATCCCACTTGTCTACCCGTTAAGCAAAAGACTAGAAAATTCAAGCCGGATTTGAGTTTAAGGATCAAGGAGGAGGTAACTAAGCAAATTGAGGCGAACTTTGTGAGGGTTACAAATTACCCCACGTGGCTAGCCAACATTGTGCATGTGCCAAAAATGATGGAAAGATCAGAATATGTATGGACTATTGAGATCTCAACAGAGCCAGTCCTAAGGATGATTTCCCTCTTCCAAATATTCATATACTCATCGATAATTGTGTGAAACATGAGTTGCAGTCATTTGTCGATTGCTTTGCAGGATATCACCAAATCTTGATGGACGAAGATGATGAGGAGAAGATAACATTTATCACTCCGTGGGAAGTGTATTGCTATAGAGTAATGTCGTTTGGTCTCAAAAATGCCAGTGCAACCTACATGAGGGCCATGACTACCCTTTTTCACGATATGATCCACAAGGAAATTGAAGTGTACGTGGATAATGTCATTTTCAAATCCAAAAGAAGTTCAGATCACCTGGATGACTTATGGAAGTTCTTTGAGAGGTTGCGTAGGTATAATCTGAAGTTGAACCCAGCAAAGTGTGCCTTTGGAGTACCCGCGGGAAAGCTACTGGGATTCATTGTTAGCAGGAAAGGCATAGAGTTGGATCCATCAAAGATAAAGGCAATCCAAGAGCTACCTCCACCCAAGACCAAGAAGGACGTGATGAGTTTCTTTGGAAGACTGAATGACGTCAGTCGGTTCATAGATCAATCCACAGTGATCTGTGAACCCATATTCAAATTAATGTAGAAGGATGCTGCCACGAAATGGACAAAGGAATGCCAAAAGGCTTTTGATAGAATTAAAGAATATTTGTCCAACCCACCAGTATTGGTCCCACCAGAGCCGGGAAAGCCTTTGTTATTGTATTTTTTTGTCATGGATAATGCATTTAGATGTGTATTGGGGCAGCATGATGAGACAGGTAGAAGAGAGCAAGCCATTTGCTATTTGATCAAGAAGTCCACACCATATGAGGCGAGATACACCTTATTGGAATGAACATGTTGCGCTTTGACTTGGATCGCGCAAATATTTAGGCAATACCTGTCTGCATACACCACGTACTTGATCTTAAGAATGGATCCACTCAAGTACATCTTTCAGAAACCAATGCCTACAGGTAAACTGGCAAAATGGCAAATTTTGTTGAGCGAGTTTGATATTGTGTATGTGACACAGAAGGCAATCAAGGGTCAAGCCTAGCTGATCACCTCGCAGAAAACCCAGTGGATCAGGATTACAAGCCGCTCACGACCTACTTCCCTGATGAAGAGGTTTTGTTTGTAGGATAAGACATATCAGAGTCATATGATGGATGGAGGATGTTCTTTGATGGAGCATCAAACTCTATTGGAGTTGGAATAGGAGCAGTCTTAATTACGGAGACAAGTCAGTATTACCCGATCTCAGCTAAGATCAGGTTTTATTGTACCAACAACATGGCGGAATATGAAGCTTGTATTCTCGGACTCAGGATGGCCATAGACATGAACATCAAAGAACTCTTGGTGATAGGAGATTCCGACTTGTTGGTTCATCAAGGGCAAGGAGAATGGACCACTAAGAACGTCAAGATCCTTCCTTATTTGCATTACATAAAGGAGTTGAGTAGGAGGTTCACAAGGATTGAGTTCAAGCATGTCCCTCGAGCTCAAAATAAGTTTGTCGATGCTTTGGCAATATTGTCCTCAATGATTCAGCATCCAGACAAAAATTACATCGACCCTATCGATGTAGAGATACATGATCAGCATGCATACTATTTTCATGTAGATGAGGAATTGGATGGAAAACCTTGGTACTATGACATCAGAAGGTTGATAGAAGCACAAGAATATCCTGAAAATGCTACGAGAAAGCAAAAACGGACTTTGAGGAGGATGCCCAATCATTTCTTCCTTAACGGAGAAATCCTATATCGAAGAACTCCAGATTTAGGATTGCTGAGGTGTGTCGACGCCACAGAAGCGACAAGGCTTTTGGAAGAAATACATGTAGGAACATGTGGACCCCACATGAATGGGTTCACTCTAGAAAAGAAGATTCTAAGAGCTGGATATTTTTGGATGACCATGGAGAGAGATAGCATCTGGTATGTGCAAAAGTGTCATCAGTGTCAAGTGCATGGGTTCCCCTTGGCCATTTTCTGCTTGGGGCATGGACGTTATCGGACCCATAGAGCCTCCCGCATCAAGTGGACATCGTTTCATTCTGGTGGCTTTCGATTATTTCACAAAATGGGTCGAAGCTTTGACATACAAAGCAGTGACTAAGAAGGTAGTGGCAAACTTTGTTCGCAACAACATAGTTTGTCGGTATGGAATTCCATAATCAATCATAACAGATAATGCAGCCAACCTCAACAACGATCTTATGAGGGAAACTTGTGAAAGGTTCAAGATTGCTCATTGAAATTACACAGTTTACGAGCCACAGATGAATGGAGCAATTGAGGCTGCAAATAAGAATATCAAGAAGATTTTAAGGAGGATAGTAGACAGTCATAGACAATGGCATGAGAAGCTACCATATGCTCTACTCGGTTATCGTACCACAATCAGAACATCAACTGGGGAAACTCATTATATGTTAGTTTATGGTTCGGAGGCAATAATACCTGCCGAGGTGGAAATACCGTCTTTAAGAATTATCCAAGAGGTTGGTCTGGACAATGCAGAATGGATAGGTAGCAGACATGAGCAATTGATGCTCATCGATGAAAAGAGGATGAACGCGGTTTGTCATCGCCAACTCTACCAGAACAGAATGACAAAAGCATTCAACAAGAAAGTCAAACCTCGACAGTTCACACCGAGGCAGTTAGTATTGAAGAAGATCTTTCCTCACCAAGGAGAAGCCAAAGGGAATTGCACCAAATTGGCAAGGACCCTACATGGTTCATAGAGTACTCTCTGGAGGAGCGGTAATCTTAGCAGAAATGGAAGGCAAAGTGAGTACAAAACCAATCAATACAGATGCCATCAATAAATACTACATCTGAAGACCTCAAGATTAGTCTTTATTTCTTGTACTTTTGCATTTTGATGTAACAGAACTACCTCTAGACCTGACTTTCCTCGGTGGGGTACGTAGGCAACCCACATCGGATCCGGTCTCCCTTAGAAAACCCAAAAACATAATTTCCATGTATTTAGAACTACGTTTGACCTGAATTCCCTCGGTGGGATACTTTGGCAATCCTTGTCGGATTCAGTCCCTTGCATATTTTTTTCTCTTTTCTATTGTAATCGAACTACATCCTGACCTAATTCCGCTTGGATACGTAGGCAGCCTAAGTCAGGCCCGATCATTTCATTTCATATTTTTCACTTTCCTATTGTATCGAACTATGTTACGACCTGATTCCATTTGGATACGTAGGCAGCTTGAGTCAAGCTCGGCCATTGCATTACATGCTTCTATTTATCCCACTTGTATTCGAACTACGTTACGATCTAATTCCTATCTTGGGGATACGTAGGCAGCCTGAGTCAGGCTCGATCAATGCACTACATAATTTCTTTTTCTTACCCTTAGGAAACACTTCATCATAGTTAGCGTAACCTCAGAATATGAAGAATCTCGGTCGACGCAGTGTCTGCGGAAGAGCTAGGGAAGCTTGATTCAGAAGGGTAAAAGCTATAGGAAGACTATGTTGGATATAATCAACAAAATGGAAAGCTCGATGGACTTCGGAACATGTCATAATCTAAAAACACTGGAGAATTACTATATAAGTATATACCTAATATATACGTAGTATACTTATTTTCTAGAAAAACAAGCTAATTCTTTTCAAAAATATTTTTTGTACTCTTCCACCTACCTAGTCTCTAGGTTAAGAAACTACATACGGGGTAAGAAGACGTCGAAGGATTCTAGTGACGAGGCTTCAGTTCGCGAGTCGATACGAATCAAAAACCCCTCCCAAACTAAAAAATTTCTTTGAGTGCAGGAACACATGAATCAAGAAAATTAAATCAAGTCTTGGGGCATGACCAGAAACGCCATTCGACTTCTCACAATCATGAGCCAAAATACTATTTTCCTACTTTATTTCTCGAAAGTACTTCAACTTGCATCTTATGTCTACGAATATTTCATTTAAATTTTTTGCAAGTACACTCAAGATTCGGATCAAATGCTGAAGAAAAGAGGATCCTCGTAGGAAAATAGGATAGTTAGCTTTCTTTCAAATAACTCCACCAACTGGAGCTTGTAATCTAACCTCATCAACAACTCCGCCAATCAAAGACCACCGTCTAACAGCATCAAACTCCACAGCCTAGGGTTGCACATAGCAAATGTCACTCAAACTCCACCGATTGGAGTTTGTACATAGTAAACATCGTCAAACTCCGCCAACCGGAGGTAGTACATAGAAAACATCGTCAAACTCCGTCAACCGGAGGCTGTACATAGCAAACATCGTCAAACTCCGCCAACCGGAGGCTGTACATAGCAAACATTATCAAACTCCGCCAATTAGAGGTTGTACATAGCAAACGTCGACCGAACTCCGCCAATCGAAGCCTGTATATAAGCAAAAGAAGCAACACTCCGCCAATCGGAAACTACATCGTAGTGCTATCACTAAAGCTCCACCGACCGGGGGCATGCACTCATAGCAACACTGTCATACGTCGACAATTAAACTTGCATTACAAGCTTTACACAGCCGGGTACAGGCTTTTACATTACAACAGCCCCGCCAGTCGAGGGCCCCGACATTACAAGTTACTTTACACAACCAGATGCAACCTTTTACATTACAACAACCCCACCAGTCGAGGGGCCCTATATTACAAGTTACTTTACCTACATCACATTCACAAGACCAAAAAGGACATCAACAATCATTTGGACGTCTACACTCTACTCTTTACATTACTATGTCGATTTATAATTTTTTGAACCACAACAGGTACTTTTCACCCTTTTATATGTTTTGCAGGACAACACATTACAACGAGGAACTTCCTCTAAGCAGCAAACTAGGGAAAGTTAGTGCAATGTCAAGCATCACTAGCTACGTCAAGGATTCACTTTCAAAACTCAACTCGACTTGATATTCAGAAGTTCAGATTTAAATCTTACTTATAACTCTTTCATGTCCCAGTTCATTATAACTCGACACTGGGGCATCATTTTGAAAATTCATCCCTCTACCATGAGTTTTCAGTAGGAATTGCTACGGAGCATTTCTCATTCATGTTTCTTTAGAACTATATCTCGTCCCTCTATTCGTGTTAATCTCTTCATACCTCACCACCAAAAGATTCCAGTATTACCATAATTCGATACTGGGGCAAATTTTTAATAAAATTTGCTATGTTCCTACACTCTCGAACTACATATGGCCTTATTTCTCATGAAACCTGAGATATGTAGGCAGCTCAGAATCCAGAGTTCGGCCATAACTCCATAAACATTCTTGCCAAGTTATTGCTCAAAGTGTATTTTGGTGGGTCGCCTAAAATTGGATTGTGTCAATATTCTTTGTCCACGTCTTCTTTACTCTCTTCCATGGACAAAGAAAGGGGCAAGCTGTTGACACCCAATTTTGGCTCTCCACATTTAACTGAAGCAATAATAATAATAATAATAATAATAATAATAATAATATATGTTATGAAATTTTTATAGGAACACGAAAATATTTTTAATTGTTTATTTTACTTGATAAATATATTTCATAAATGTTATTTCTTATAAAAATTAGATATAGTATATATGTATTACTACTTACTTTCTCAAAAAATAATTAAAATAAATGTCATTCTTAAGAAATGAATCTATTTTTTGTTCAAATATAATTTCTATTGTTGCAATAGATATTTTTCATACATTTTTTAAAATTAGAAAGCTTAATTAATTAATGAGTTACTAATTTATATTAATTTAATTTTAAGAGTGACTAATTTTATCAAATAAGCTAATCTTGCAAAATAATTATTTTTAATTTAATAAATTATGACTATTTAATAAAAAGGAGGTTATAATTTAAATGGATTCAATTTAAGCAATTTTGGCAATCCAAGTCCCCATAAACTGGCCAATCCGTGTGTGCCACGTAGGCGAGCACATGGATTGTGCTTCGTTAGATTCGATCTCAGCCTTACAATCTAATCTAACGGCCTTAAAACCCTTATTTTGTTAACCGTCCGATCAAACGATCAGACGGCCCAAATTAAATCCCAAACCTTTTCATCTTTTCCCAATAGAGAAAAGACCCCAACGTTCTTCTTCTTCTTTTTCAGAAAAAGGACGTTTTCCTTTCCCTAGAATCCTCATCTTCCCCAAATGCTCATCTTCCCCATGCCCTTCACTGCTCTTCCATCAAATCGTCGTTGCCTGCGGACCGCTGGAAAATGCAATATCCGGCGGGTTTCCATCTTATCCTCCATTAATCATAGCCTCTTCATATCAAATTTAAGTCCCCTCCATCACCTTTCCATCAATAATCCCACCTTTTTCCCCTTGTTACATCGAAAAGAAAACTCAAGAATAGAAGGAGCTCTTAGGTCTCAAGTCTGCGAAGCCTAAAAATAGTGATTTTTTCAAGATTTCACTCGTCCCTCGCATTACACTATGAGTTTTAATAATTTTGAGTTTTAAATTCGGATTTCTGGAAGTCCTAATTTTGCCTATATAAAAGGGTTTTGCCTCATTCGAAGATCACCGAACAATCATCCAGAAAACGGATAGGAACAACATCCAGAAAATCCAGCAAAATTAGAAGGAAAGATCCAAAAAAAAAATGATCCAAAAATCAGGGAGAGATGGAGGAAAAAGAAAAAAATGCAATACATATTTCAAAGAGTTCAAAAGATAGTCTTCTTGTCCTTTTATTTTCGGTTTTAAATTTGAGTTTGAGGAAGTTTGAAATCGGAATCCTTTACATCAAAGCCCCTGTTTGTTGCCCGACAAAAGGTACTATTTTCGTCAATCTCTTCATTTTATTTTGTCTTAATGTAATCTGTTGGAACGTTTGCTCTAAAATGTGCAATGAGGTTGTTACTAACAGATTTTATTAATATTAAGTTATCAATACAATTTGAAAAAAAAAAATCAAATGTTAAGAAACGTTAAGTCTTAAAGCTATAATCATGTTTGCATTACTGTTTCGAGGCAAATTATCAAACTTTAATCCATGATAATGGGAGAAGCAGATTGTTAGTTTGATATAATGTAAACTGACATACAAAGGACTAAATTAGTAACTACTATTTGTTTGATAACAGTTCTTTGGATATCTAAGTGTGTGATGAATTCATTAGATTTTATTTAATTCTAGCAGTAAGAAAAGGATAAGGGAAATAGTCGTTGTTTATTTTTAGTTCGAGTCCCCTTTTGTCTCGTTGCCTCGTTCTCAGACTAAGGTAAACCCACATGCTGCGGGTAAATTTCATAGGCTTAGCAAGTAAATATTTCAAACAATTTATGATCCACTAACCAAGTATTACTTTGTAGTTCTATTAGCTTGTAAAACGTTGTTTTGATTATTTTGACCTCCTAAAAGGCTTTTGAGTTTTCCGAATGACTTCTTTAGTGACTGTGCTTGTTAGGCTATAGGTTGTTTGTAAAATTCATTTTTTTCCTTTTTTAAAATTTTAGATGTTGCACCAGTTTTGGTTTGTCGGTTCTTCCTATTTACGGATAGTCAAATTTATATAAATGCATAACTAAGGATGACTGGCTTATTCATTTTTTTATCATGGCTAGTTTGGCTCATCTTGTATTGTGTAAACATTGTGTAAGTTAAAAGGCAAATTTGGTAACCTTTAGAGAACCACAAACCGCATATATTATTGGTCTTATGAGAATTGATATCACTATATTTGTATTTGTCTATTTTTGTTTAGATAGTTGCGTTACTGCACTATTTATTTAGTCACTAATCT